TATATTGATACGCTAGATAGATTTTTAATGAATAAATAAGCTCAACTATTTATGTTATAGTAGTTGAGTAATACTGCTTTTTGTTCTTGTATGCTTAATTTGAGACTATGTAATAAAAACAAAAGAATAATTTTGTTCTGTTGCTTTTTTTTTTTTTTTTTTTTGGTGTGTGTGTGTGTGTGGGGGGTATTTCCAAAAAGGCAATTTTAGACACTAGTCTATTCAAAGGGGTGGGGTGGGGGCAAGAGGTGACATATCCCTTCCAGGTTATCACTCTGGGGCTCTGACCTAGGAACCTGCTGCCAGGGCATGGCAGGAGGTGTGGTGGAAAAGCCCACTGTTGGTTGGGAGGGAAGGGCTGGAAGCTGGGAACATAACTTTTATACCTTTCCTCCTCTGGCACCTCAGGGACAGCAGGGCTAGGCTGAGGGGCAGGAGGGCCAGGCTGAGGCACAGAAGTTAAACAGTAACTGATCATCAGCAGAATTCAAAAACCCTTCTCTGCTCTTTTATTTGTGCAGCATGGGGGATTGAATCCAAACCCTTTGCTGTAAAGGCACCCACATTCAAATACACAAAAATACTGCGGAACCAAGAAAGAGCAGATATCTGAAGGTTTTTTGTTTTTCCCTGTGTTTATTTACTTTGTCATAGCATGCTCACAATAAAATCTGCAATTATCTAGTTTCTGGGGTGGACTCCTCAGCCGGCATTTGGTGGAAGCAAAGCTAAATAGCAACCACTTCCTGCTCCTAGCTGGACAGCTATCAGGAAAGACAATGAATGCCCAGCAGGAAGTGTGTGGTTAGGGCCTCTGGGGCTATGCTCCAGGACGTGGCTTTGAAAAAGTATGAGGGATAACGGGCAGGTTTCATTTCCAACAGGAAGGGCAGAGGGGATGGATTTATGTCAGCAGTATCAGTGTGGTCCCTGGAGTGAATGATGAGAACCTCTGCTCCAGTAGTGTGCCTGGAAGTGCCATCAGCTTAAGCATGAGCTTCAGGATCCCGTGGAGGACACAGAATCCAGTGGAGGGAACTTTCAAGGACCTGCTTACATGCTCAAGCTCCAAGCCTGCAAGGCCATCCCCAATCTCAACCTCCTGCTTCTCTTTTCCATACCTCTGTAGTCGACTAGGATGGTTTGTTTCCCTCTGTGCCTTTCCCCAGGAATCACCTTTTTTATTCCCAGACTTCAGGGGTGGTACATGCTACAGATGGAGTCTGGAATGTCCCCCAGAGGCCTGTGTGTGAGTGGTTTGATCTTCCTTGTGGCACTTCTGGGAGGTGGTGGAAATCTTTTAAGAGGCGGGGCACACTGGGAGGTTTTAGGTCACTGGTGGACTTGTTCCCCATGCTGGTCCTGTTCACCCTGTTTCTCAGTCACTTCAAGGTGAGCAACTTACTCCATCACCTGCTCCCACCATGATGTACTGTGTTGCCACAGGACCCGTTGGTTATGGACTGGAACCCCCCAAATTCAGCCTTAAATCAAACCTTTTCTCTTTTTAAGTTGATTTTTCTCAATCATTTGTTACAATAATGGGAGGCTGACTCCTAATACCACACATTTGGGGCTCCTGGATCTGTACCTCTGCTGAGGCTCGAATAACTTGTGCAAGGTGTCACAGCGAAGGAAGCCAGCTGCAGAGCCCACAGATGAGGTGTGCTACGGTGCTGCCTCTGCAGGAGGTCTCCCTCTTCCTCTCACCTCTCTACCCTCTCCCTGTACATCTGCTGGTCTCTCCTCCACATTTTTTCTGGCTCACAGTCTTCTCTGCTCCCAATCCCCCATCTTCTCTCAACATTCCTGTGAATGATCCACTCAACAGCCCCAGCCTATCGGTCTCCACCCTCTCTGTTTTCATCCTCGATCTATCAGGGCACCCACATCCATAACCCCACTGCCATTAGTCAGAATCACTCTAGAACTGCTCTCTCTGAAATCCTAAACTGTTTTCCATCCCTGATCGTAGCTTGCCCTTTCAGTCCTCCTCCCACCCCTGTGTCTACCTTCTCCACACATTCAGCCCCTTCCCATCTTCATTTCTGTCCTTATTTAGCCGTGAGTCCATTATTCAACCCCTGACCCCTTTCCATTAATACCCAATTAATTTCAGTTAATCACCCAGAACCTTTAACCTTCTGCTCCTCTACTTGGCAAAACCTAAAAGAGGCTCAGTGGTGAAGGGCTTGCCTAGCTGGCATGTATAAGTCCCTGGGTTCAATTCCCAGCATGGCAAAAAAAAAAAAAAAAAAAAAAATTATGTTTTGGATTTCCCCATTCATTTTTAATCTACAGAAGTATGCTGTTATTAGGTTGGGGATGACAGCTCAGTGGAACAGCACTTGCCAAATGTCTGAAATAAACTTGCTTTTGCCCTTATAGCAAGACTCCCTTGCTGACCACTTTCTCCTTCACCTGTCTTCTCTTTGTGTCTACACATGACTTACACTTTCCTCTAATCACTCTTCTCAGCTTATAACTTAGGCTGGGTTCCCCCACCCACCCCAAGCAAAGAGAGAAGGATTGAAAGCAAGCAGTTGATGTGGAAGTTGGTCCCAGGAACACTGGTAAGAGGAAGCAGGGAAAGGAAGGCAGATGGTGCAGGCTGCAGTAACAGGCAGGTTATGGCCAAGGGTAGGGCACTCAATTCCACTGAAGAACCTGGGAGGTTATGAAATATACACTTCCAAATTGTTCCATGGAAGAATGATGAGCTGGGATATCTGTCCCCTCTTAGGTGTAAAATTAACTGACAATAGGAAAAAAAAAAAAACCATCAAAGTTTATTCATGTGCATATGGAGCACCCAAAAGGGGCTTCTAAATAGTTGAAGAGGAGCTCAGTGTGAGGCCCAGGCAGGAGGATCCAGAGTTCAAAGCCAGCCTCAGCCATTTAGCAAGGCCCTAAGCAATTTAGCAAGACCCTGTCTTTAAGTAAAATATAAACAGCACTCCTGGGTTCAGGCCCCTGTACCAGAACAAAACAAAACAAAAACACCAGTTAAAGAGGAGAAAGGAGGGCAAAATGGTTTCTATGGGAAGAGCAGTTGGGTTTCCAGGGTAACAGAATGGAGAAAAGTTTGGGATAATGCTTGTTTATTAAGTGTGGGAGGGTTTTCTCCCTTTCTTTCTTTGCTTCCATAAAAGTCCCACAGAGAGGGGATCCATATAAGCTCACTTTCAGAAACTTCTGCTTTCAGTGAGATAAGGAGAGCTCCAACAAGATTTCTTTCTGTATCTGTTGAATCTCAAATATCTTTAGTTTAAAATAGTCCTCATATATACTCTGGGCCCAGGTGCATCCCCACACTGCCAATTCCCTAAAATCCCTGTTGAACCTCAGGGATTCCAGCCTGTCTATTGCCAGCAAGCTCGCTCCTTTGGCTGGAAAAAGACCCTAGGCAGGGAATCCTGGTAAAAAATGTTGAGTGCCAAAAGGACACAAGCTATTACCATTTTTATTCTGATTTTTCTCTTCCTCTACCTGCTTCTTTAATGGTGGTATTCCCCAAGATCTTACCCTCCCATAGTTCTCACAGCTTCAGTCACTATGATGTCACTCAAATCTATATCCTTCCCTTCTCATCTCCCTTAAGGTGTGTGTGTGTGTGTGTGTGTGTGTGTGTGTGTGTGTGTTTGTGTGTGTATTGAGAACCTTACCTTGGATTGTCCACTGCAAACAAAACTCAATAAAAACTGGGTTGACAGTCTCTCTTTTTAAAAAAAAAGTATATATTTTTTGTAGATGGACACAATACCTTTATTTTATTTATTCATTGATTTTTATGTGGTGCTGAGTATTGAACCCAGTGCCTCATGCCTCATGTGTGCTAGGTAAGTGCACTGCCACTGAGCCACAACCCCAGCTCTGGGTTGAGGGTCTTTTAAAGCCTTTTCTCTTGTTATTCCCTACCTTGTCTTGCTTTTTTAAAATCTGGTCTTCTTATTGTTTCCAGAGGTCTTTCTAAAACATCTGTCCTAGGCTGGGGGTGTAGCTCAATGATAAAACGCTTGTTTAGCACACACAAGGTGATGGGTCTGACCCCAGCATGCATGCATGCATGCATGCATAAAATTAGATAAATAGGGGCTGGGGTTGTGGCTCAGTGGTAGAGTGCTTACCTTGAACACATAGGGCACTGGGTTCAATCCTCAGCTCCACATATAAATAAATAAAGGTATTGTGTCCATCTACAACTAAAAAAAAATTATGAAAAAAATAGATAAATAAATACCTGTCTTACAATATGCCAGACAGTCTTTTAGGTGGTGGGGATATAATAATGAACAAGACAAAGAGGATTCCTGCTTTCAAAAGCATAAATTCTGCAAATACAGAAATAAACAAGAAAGAAGAAAAATATGTTTCATGTAGACTGGAGACCTATTTTAGATTGGGAGGTCAAGAAAGGCATTTTTGAAAAGAACACATTAAAAACCAGAACTGAATGACACAAAGGATACACCTATGCAAACGTACAGGCAGAGAGACCACTTCATTCCCCAGCTGAAAAATGCTTCTTTCAATGGTTTTCCAAAGACTTCAGGATCTAAGTCCAAATTTCGGAACAGGGCAGAGAAAAGTTTTACAGCATGAGGCCAGCTGCCTTCCTCTAGTTTTTTACATTACATGACATCAACTCATTACATACTCAAAAGCACCACGGAGACAGCAAGTAGACTGGCTGTGTCCCCCTTACCTTTATTCATCTTTGTACTCTGTCTCTGCGTTAGGATTCAGCTCCATAAATGTTTGTTAAATGGCATATTGGGCAAAAAGTTTAGATGCATTATAAATGTACTGATCTAGATCAGTGCTGTCCAAGGGAAGACGCATTCCACGTGTGTAAAGTTTCCTCATAGCTACATTAGAAAAGTAAAGGAAACGGATGCAACTGTCTTTACATTTTATTTAATGGAACATATCCAAAGTAGTATCCTTTTAACCTGTGATTCATATAAAGATATTGAGCTATTTTACATTCTTTGTTTATCTGAAATCTTCCAAATCCAGTGTGTGTATTTCACCCATCGCATCTCAGCTGGGACTGGCCACATTTCTAGTGCTCTGCAGCCACCTGTGGCTGGCGGCCACCTCCTTGGCGACGGTCCCCTACCAAGGACCTAAAGCAGCCCAGCCATTCACCTCCTACCGCCTTACCTATTTCATCTGCTTTGCAGCCCCTACTAGTTTTACTTGCAAAGCTCTGGTTTGCCTGTCTCTTTTGTGACAAGGACTCACCCTGAATGGTGCCAGGATAGGACAGACATTCAATAAGCGTCCATCCCTTCTTGAATCCGTGCCCAGCAGACATCGGGAACCTGGGCCGTCCTCTCACCCTCCGGGGCTGCCCTCGCCCTTCCTTTCCCAGGCCGGTCCCTGGAATGTGGCTGGAAACCGTGGACGTGACTGGGAGGAGTCTGGCCTCCTCGGGTTTCGCGCGGCGCGCACAGGGACGCGGCCGCCGGCCATGGCGGACCTCACGGTGTGCTCCTTCCTCACCAAGGTGCTGTGCGCCAACGGCGGCCGCATGTTCCTGCAGGACCTGCGCGGCCACGTGGAGCTGTCGGAGGCGAAGCTCCGGGACGTGCTGCAGCGGGCCGGGCCCGAGCGCTTCCTGCTGCAGGAGGTGGAGATGAAGGAGGGCCTCTGGGACGCCGAGGCGGAGGCGGCGGCGGGCGCGGGCGGCGCGGGCAGCGGCGGCGGCGCCTCGGCCTGGAGGGTGGTGGCCGTGTCCTCCGCGCGCCTCTGCGCCCGCTACCAGCGCGGGGAGTGCCAGGCCTGCGACCAGCTGCACTTCTGCCGACGGCACATGCTGGGCAAGTGCCCCCACCGCGACTGCTGGTGAGGGGAAGGCGCCGGGGGCCGGGAGGAGGGCGCAGGGCGAGGGCCTTGGTCTGAGGTCCAGCGGGAAGCCGGAGTCCAGAGTATGGTGGAGGAGGGTCCTCGTCGGGCGCGCGCGGGGTGGGATGGCGACCTCCGGGGAGGCCTCGTCTGCGCTCCCGGCTGGATGCGGGGGGGAAGCGGGAGGTCCCTCGGCCCAGAGTCCTCAGTCGCCCGCGCCCCCCAAATGCTGTCCTGCCAAGGTGCCTTCGCTACGCGCCTGGGTTGAATCGTGCAGGAACTTTTGAGTTGACCCCCCTCAAAGTGGCCTCCAGGGGACATCTGAGGATCCCGTGAGATCCATGGGCCTTTTGCGCCCACTCCCCACTAACTACCGTTTTACAGGAGCGGGTCTGTGCTCTCGGGCTTCAAAATCCTGGTCTGGCCTGACCCACCCCCTCCCCGGAAACAGGGCTGGAGGCTGTGAGTGAGGACCCACCCTCCGCACCCCCTCAGCGGGAGTTTGGAGCTCTTTCGTGGTGCATTCTCGCCGCACCCTCACCCCCAGTGTATGTGGAGGCGCTTTCTTTCTAACGTTAGTAGACAGTGGGAGACGGTCCCTCTCTGGGTGGGGAAGGCCAAGTGCCGTCATGGGCAGAACAGATGTGCAGCCTGTCGGGGAGGTGACTGGGGGAGGTACACTTGGCTGGAAAGCATCCTTAATGAAGAAGAAAATGACCCTGGGAAGGGAGTAGTTTCAACCCAACTTTCTTATTATCAATCAGTGCCTGGGAAATTGTTGGACCCACTGAAGTTGAAAGTTGTCTCAGGCAAGAATCCCACCCACTGGCCCTTCCTCACCTGGGCTTCTGACCCAGAGCTTTGTGTTTCCCCAGGTCTACCTGTACCCTTTCTCATGATATCCACACACCTGTCAACATCCAAGTCCTGAAAAACCACGGGATTTTTGGCCTCAATGAAGCCCAGCTTCGGATCCTGCTTTTGCAGAATGACCCCTGCCTTTTGCCAGAGGTGAGTGGCCATGGAGTTCATTGCCTTCTCTGGCTTTGTAGAGTAATAGCTCTGAAGTAGTATGATTTAGTTTCGCATTCTTAAAAGGACCCTTTCTAATTCCTATAATGACAAAATTCGCATGTGTGTTTCTGTTTAGCCATACATAAAGGATTGTTTTCAACAAAATAGTGAGAATCCCAAGAGAAAATATTATGAGACTACCAATTAAAAGTAGAATTTTGTAATCTGGCACCATGATTCTATCATAGACTTTCTCATGTGGCCAGAAAAGGGGTGGGAGGAAGGTGGGGGAGTGAGGAGACCACCATTCAGGATGGTGCTGTTTTTTGTTTTCGTTTTTTTTTTTTTTT